AGGATAACGGCAAATTTCTCTTCCAGGCGACATTACACATCCGCACAATGTTACACACACATACGGACAAGACCAAAAACATTTTAGTTATGTAATATGCGACACGCAATCCTGAAAAAATATACGCCGGAGGGTACGGGTACAGTTATGTGCACGAGCGATCATTATCATTTACCGGTTAAAAAGAAACGTGAAAAACATATTTTATGGTCGTCTCCTTCGAAAGTCACATCTCGTAGCGGCTGCCGACCTTGACAATTAGATTTTTTTTAGAGAGATTAAATCGTTACTCGGTACCGGCTCGACCTACAAAGTAACGTAAGGCAGACTATTAGGAACAACGGGAAAATGAAGAGAGTACGAACAAAAAAAAACGCGCGTAAAACGCCTCGAAATCTAAATAAAATTACATTTGCGGATTTTCCAAATATGTCATCTTTGTATTAAATTTTGTCCTTTATAGTAATCAAACGCGTATTATGGGAATTTGGTACTAAAACAGGCTTAAGCTACCTTAACCTTTAATACGTTAATGTGAAGCAGCCTTAACACGAACCTCCACGAATGCTGAGTACTGGTGAGCTTCAACTCTTCTTCTTAAGACAACTTTCTACACTTCGCATCATTGTTTACAAGATCACTGGCCCTGTGGAAACCAATTATAAAAATGATTCGAGTATCATGTATTTATGTAAGTTTATGTGGCGTTGTGATTGTTTTGATGTGAATATTTCCTGTGCAAGGAAAATGTATTATAGGAAATAATTAACAGAGCTTTTCATAGCTCCGTTTTCACATGAAATTCGCAAATTTATTGTCGACCAGTCCCAGCATTTACCTTTGAAAACGCTTTGTTCTGCCAAAAAACTTTTTGTTGTTTTAAAAACCACACCTTGTATTTACGGATTCGTTTCAATCTCGTGATATTCTCCGATCGTGAAAACAAATTGCTGTTTTATAATTCCATACAGTAAATTTAACACAAACGCCAAAGAACGCGTCCCAGTAACATTAAAGAGGGATTGTCATGATGCAACGTTATAATGTCAGCTGTGGCAGACACGGAATACACAATACATGATATAAAAACAAGTGTCTACAGGGTAATCAATCGTATATGTGACAATAACTATTAAAATATTTTTTTCTTGTATCTATTTTGATTCTGTACTTCATGGTTCTTTAAATAAAATGAGCCCCACCATATCCCTATGGCGTGTATAGCTTGTAGAATAACAAGTAGAAAAAAATAAAAGGTATATAAACAAAGTTCTTTTTTTTTAAGGTACTTTGACGATGTTGCTGACAAACAGATATCCTTAAAACGAGTGGAATTATAAGGATTAAATTTATATTGACGATTAAAATTTTTTTTATAACCTTCACACTGTCCCTGTCTTTACCTTTATTGTGATCTGTGCAGTCGTGTAAACATTGTTTATGTCGTTGCCACAAAAAAGATAAGGGAGAGCAGGTAGGAGGTGTTTCACCTCTTGGAAGAGAACCCAGTGCATCATCACTAGACATCGGAAACTTTCTGGCGACAATCAAATAAATAGTAATCTACAGGGTGATTCATAAATGGTGACCAAAAATGAGATCTCGTATTCTTTGGTTACTTTTAAGGGGAGTCTTTCCTATAAAGTTTTTATCTAGGACGCTTCGTTAAAAAGATACAGGGTGTTAAACTTCAAAAAATGTTTTTAATTTTTTTTAAACAATTTAAAAACTGGTAAGTGAAGTAATTTGTAATTGGGCACATGTATTTACGTAAACATTGTCCAAAATCTGAGGGCTTTTCCTAAAATTTGCATGCTCCAGTGGCATATTTTTGTAAATAAAATAGTACGCCACTGCTTTACGGGAACAACCATGCTATTTCCGGATTCGTCTTTCAATTTTCTACAACTTACTACTCTCTTATGTTTTACGAGAAAAGCCCGATTTTCGAGTAAAACTTATCGAATAAATTGATCGATGCGAAGCTTCAGATGGTGGGATTACTAAAATGCGAAGTAGTTGATAGGTATACATATATATTTTATGGTAAGTTCCATATGAAGCGTTTGGAGTAGAAAAATTGACACTGACCCTTTTTGTTTCATACTATTATGCAAATACATACTACATCCTCACAATGTAAAGAGTGCAGTTATAAGAAGGCAACAGTTGTGTCACGTTTTGCTTGAATAAACCTGGGAATCAAACATTAGGTGTGCCGCAAGGTTCGATACTTGGTACAGGTTTTTTATTCCCTCCGTCAATGATACCACGAACGCTATAATTTGTATACGGATGAAAGCTACAGAAATACAAAGAGGCGTTAAATAAATCGATATACCTCCATATAAAACAATTAGTACCGTGACATTTTCAACACTTGATATCTTAATTTTTACTTAACATGTGTATTGATTACATCACAAAGAATCGAAGAAATCTCCAATGTGCTAATTTTAGGAACCATAAATTTTGAACAACCGTTCGGTTGTAGGTGGTGTTTAACAGTTACAATATACACAATACTGTGATTTATATATTTATTATTTATACAGTTACATAAACAAGGTTTCGATAAGGAAAAAGGAATGTCCTCTTAGCGAAATGACTAGGTATACCTACCCAATAAATTTTAAAGATGTATTGGAGTAATAAAAACCCTCCCACATTTCCATTTCAGTGATATAACTCTGAAATCCTATTTAAAGTTGTATAATTAACTGTAATAAATTTATCGAAAGTATAAATTAATTCCTTATAATACTATTAAGTATAAAGGTTAAGGTTTCCTTGGCTACTTGTTGCAGGTTGCTCTGACGCCAAATATTAAAAAGAAGCTGCACGAAACGTTAGAGCTGTCTGAAGGAGCCTGACATATCTAAAGACTTCTGTAAGTTCATATTCGTGCACTAGAAGGACATAAAAAATGGATACCTAAGTAAGTAGGTACATCAAGTTCATTATCACACCAGTGTCCAATCTTCTCAACTAAGTTTACAAATGTCGTAAATAAGTAGCTTATAAATATTTATTCACAGCGCCTTAGAACGATAAACGAACATAAATAAAGGAGAAACAGCCTGTAATAGTTACTCCTGCTTCTTTGTTTAAATATAGGTTGGTACCTACTAGATACCGGTAGATTTATTTCCTTTGCGGTGAATGTAGGAAACCTCACTGTTGTGGAAGAAAGTGTAATTTATAGGATTATTACCCTTCACAGTTACTGTTCTACTTAATGACGTGACACTGATTTGTTTATAACTATCCTTACGATATCAGTAACTGTAATTACAAGCTTGCTCGTTAGATACCTACATTATGTGCAATATTTGAGCTTGCCAGTCATTTAAACAAGTTAATATTTATAACGGTTTACTTTGTTCTGAAACAGTATAGCGCGAAAAACACTAATATCGACTTAAATTTCCTGCCACACCATTATTTCACTTAGTACTTGTATAAAAATTGCCTATGCAATAATTTTAAACATACAGCAGATAAATGAAATATAATTACGCTCAAGCACGCCAATTAACACGTGTGACAAGTGTTTTTTACTTGAAAACGAAGGATCCTAAGACAAAAACTAAAGAGCAATAGTAAAATGACGTCAATTAGTGCGCCCTTAACTTTTATCCCAAACTTTAAATTCCATACGTTGTATGTAATGGGTATTGCTTAGATATTCGAAAACAATTTTTATCTATCTTGTTAAGTGTCATTTTGGACGTTTGTAGCTTCCCTAGTTCTTCAAACAACAAAATCGGGATGAAATCTTGAACTAATGACTCAACAATTGTAAGATAGTGTAACTTATAAAACTTGCTGCTTATCACTTCAACTTGCTCGATAGCACTGCTTAAGTATTGATCAAATGGAAAAGATTTGTTTCAGAGCTAAGTCCAGCAAAGAATGTGCAAAAAAATAATGTTACCTCGTTCACTTGGACGAGAACTAGTATTTAATGACAGAATAATTGTAACAGTACAAGATATTTTAAACATGTCACGTTTCCTCCTCGGTATCTTTAACGAAATTCAAATTAGGTGCATTCTTTATACGATTAGATTGGTTTTTCTTGTACCTACTGATTGGACGGTATTACCATTTTAAGTCATTTATAGGTGGCACTATATCTGCCTTTATTTCAGTATTCAGTAATTTTATTTATCACTAAACACCTGATCATCCCACTTTGAAAAAAAATACTAACTATTACCATATCCTCTATAACTTTTTTTGTGCCCGCAATGACAAAATATGAAAATTTTCGCAGCAATACACAAGCATTTCCCAATGAACTAGTTATTAAATTGACCAGTAGCTTTAGGTAATACAATTACAGTAATTATGCAGCTTGAAGGTCAACGACACCTAGACATACTTACTGCTATTGTCTGCGTTAGCGATATATTCCTATTTTTCCTGGCATAGCTCACACAACGAAATTAATTTTCAAATGTTTACATTATTCAAAAATGATACATTGCAACATTAGTTGCATAGAAGAGCATTTTTCAAACGTAAGAATGACAGCTATACACCTAAAAAGTCAAACGTTTACAATTACTTGTCGTCTGGGTTCTGTTTCTCACCTAGAAATTGTCAAGAAATATATCATGATTAGATTGGAAATTAAAACTGAAATGTCACGCTTTTTTATGCGCTATCAAGCAGGTAGATGTTACAACCAACCAGTCGGCAAGATTTCATGATTCTAATAAGATTGCACAGTTTTTGAAATTGGAACATCCTGAAACATATACAGGCCATTCATTCCGAAGAACATCGGCAACGTTACTGGCTAATACAGGAGTTGATGTATTAGCAATCAGAGACATGGTGGGTGGTCCTTAAAAGCAATGTATTAATAGTCTATTTACTATAGTGGGAGCAGACAAAATTATATTCGTTATAACGTAACTACTGTTACAGGTATTCATAATTTTCCAAGACAGATCAAGAACACGCGTTACATCACCCACAGTTCATCCTACCTAACAGATCCTTCGCCGAACCTCTTTTCTAAGTGTCACAAACACCGCACACCCCACCAGCTCCTCGAAAAGCGCAACTGGGTCACCGATATTCGCGGCGTTTGTACGAGCAGACGAAAAAACTTCCGCTGATAACTACCACATCGGGATCTGAGCACATTTCAACGTGACTGGCCTGCCAACGAGAACAACGCCGTCGTACCGGAGGAACGGGGACCTCTACGGAGAAATTACATCACCGAGACGCGCCGAATGACCCGGTTGACCATCGCGGGTCAGATCCACCGCGAACTACGGTTCCGCGACGACCTGAACTCCCATCTGACCGACCGCCAACAAAGAGGCGTGCTGTAATTATGTGTTATTATCCTCGCTCGTTACGGTTTATCAGTTGTTTGATTGGGCTCGAGGAGTTCCATTAAAGGCCCGTTTGCGTTTATCGGTAACACGTCCATGCGGTTATGCGGATTTGCGTTGGAACAATTTCACGCCTATTGTCAGGTCAAAATCGTTGGAGAACTCGATTGAAGGGTCAGCACACTTCTACTTTAGGTTTTTCAAATGCTTCCAACTATGATTAGAAGCCGCGTGACCCTTGAGCATAGGCAACCAACATTACACAATTGACCCTGTTAACTAAAAATCCCCAAACATCGGCGGAGTGGTTGAAGGAGTTTGGGGTGATTAAATAAAATTGTTTGAAATGCTTTGGAAACTTTTGAGGAATAAATAACATAAGTGTTTATAGAAATAGAATGTATGTCGTTTATGTAAAATAAAAAAAGAACTGGGCCCAGAACTGAACCTTGTGTTACACCCAAAAGGTTTATCAAATATAATCTACTATTCTATAGGGTGTTAAAAGTTTGACTGCCTTAATTTTAACAGACGATAGAATACATTAAAATAAACAAAAAAAACCTTAGATGACATGGGCCCTAAACCCAATCATTTCCAAGAAAAATATTAATTAAGGAATACTGAAATAACTGCGTTCATAGAGTACCATAAATACAATGTTTATCACGTTTTTTAACTTCTTTAGACTTAATTCTAAAAAATAAATAATTAGCGTTGTAATAAATTTAAAATTCGATAAAATTCATATCGAGCAGTGTGAAAATGTGATAACACAAAGTACTAAGCTGTCCAGCAATACGCAATTCAGTTGGTATCTGGAATTGGACCGTGTATAGGTGTTTTTTGCGTACCACTATTTCCATTTCTTGAGGTGTTTTCCAGTACCTAAATTATTTTTAATACGTTGGGTGACTTAAATTTTTGGGTACTTTTAATTACATATTTTTCAAACTCATTATTTGATTAAAAGTTAAGTTCCTTTTTTTTGAGACATTCATAATTACTAAAATTTGAGCTAAAATTTAATCACAACATTATCTAGGTACTACAAAATCGATAAATTTTATTTTATTTATTTAAAAACTGTTTTTTCCAACGCTATTCTCTACCGTATCAAATATCAAACAAAGCATAACAGTGGATTTAAATCCAATTTGTCTTAGTATTTCCATCGGCTTCCGACAAAACCGTATCTCGATAAATTGTTTCGTATTACACAATCCAATTTAGAAAACTATCTTCCAACAATAATTCTTCGATAAACAATGATTTTTTTACGAAACCGCACCGATAAATTTGCCGTGAATAAAAAAAAAATGTAAGAGCAAATTATTGACAAAAGGAGAACATAAAAAGCACGTAATTTTTTGAAAGCAAATACTGCTACACCAATAAGGGTGATGAAACAAACTATAAACATATCCACTGGATATGTTATAATATTTCCCTATAGTTTTTTCTTTACAATCCTCTATTTTGACTTCAATAATACAGGGTGTCCCATGAATAAAAAATAAATTTAGAATGTCAGCATTAGAATAAACGTTAACGTTTCCATTTTTTAACAATAAATAATACTCAAATAAACATTCACTGGATGTGTTAAATTGACAACAAAAACTGGTGACAGATTAGGTGCATGTTTTGAAGTTCCACTAAAAATTCCACAGCCATCCTCGCAAGAAATAATGCGATATCCGTTGACTGCACGAAAAACAGTAAATACCTTCAAAAGCAGAAGAGATAGGTATAGGGAACCATTACACCATTCGAAAGAGAACAAAATTGTTCATCAGATTGCGCAAAAATATACAGGGTGGTCATTTAGAAAAAATAAGTTAAGATGGTTTAAAGTTGACTAAATTCGGCATTAAATTTCTACCACCCTGTAAGAAATTAAGTCATTTTGAAATTATGTCAGGAAAGCTTAGAGTTTTAGTTATGTCCCCTATAAATTTTACCGCTCTAAAATACACATCTCTTTGAATTAGGCAGTGCTTTTCTATTATTTTTTTTTTTTTTTGAAAAAATTAAATATATCGAAAACGGTTAACTTTAAGAATAGGAAACCTTTATGAAAGTTCACCTAAAAATTGACGTAGAATCCAAAATTGCAATAATATACAGGGTGTTCCATTTAAAATAACGAAGACGACGTCAACTTCGATATAACCACTATTACCCAAATTTTCAAAATTAGTTTAAAATATGTCTAATGTCACGTCACCGTGGGATACCCTGTATACCATTCAACGTCACCCCGTTCTTAATAAAGTAAATGCATAATTATTATTTAAACTGTCCTTCACTCAAATAGTAAATATTTCACATTAAAATTATTACTTTTTCCTACGCTTATTTGTTTGCAAAGAACAATTCTGTTTATAAATAGAAAATGTTGGTAATACCGCTGTAAAAATACACAATTATTTTTATCCACATTTACAAACTGCGGTTTCATGCCTCTGCATCTATTACCAGCCACAGTCATATCACCTCTCTTTTCCGATAAAAAAAATCAAAGAGAGAAATAACGTCACAAGCATTAATAATTCATATTGCTTAGTATTCTAGCACATGCTCCTCGGCTCGAATGTGGCATATCATTTCGAGATACGACCTTAAACTTTAAAAGTAACAGTATTGTGTGACTCACGACGTTTTCAGCGTTTTTCATGAATTCTGTTATATAAGATATAAAGAAAGCAGAAAATACTGTTAATGTTTTGGTTATTAGTCATTAGTCTACAGATTTCTGCAATTTATACTTACACAAGATTACGCAAATTGAAAGAAAATTTAACACATCGGTTCTGTTTGTAACAACAAACTAAGCAAAAATAAAAATTACGTCAGTGAATGTCCAGAAGCTGATACTCTTGCTTACTTTATATTTTTTATGAAATTAAATTCTATTAGAAGATATTAGGGATATCGTCATCATTAATTATATAATTTTAAGTGTTGACAGGTGTTGTACCAAATTAAATTTATATAATGGTCAAGTAAGGCAGTTGCTTGTATATTGTATTTATTTTATTATTATCACATTTTATCAGAACATTACCAATGTGCTATCTATAAAGGAAGCCTGATTATATTTCAACTTTAAGGGGGCGATTTAGTATGTATATTTTTACCATGTAACAGAGCTTCAGATGAGGACACAAATCGTCGAAGAAACTAACATAATTGAATATTATTATATATCAATGTATTCGCAATGGTTCCCGCTAGTGAGTGAAATAAATTTCAATGCTCATGAGAACAGAAGAATAATTTAAATAAATCCCAAAGTACCTCAATTTTAACCATACTGTTAGTCTGACAATATATTGCATTTACGACGGAACTAAGTCAGGCACAATAACCAAACTACTTCACTCACTAAAACGGACACTTAGGATCATTTGTATTTAATTTTCAGATTAATATTTATTAACAATTCTATAATTTGTGTCCTCAAGTAAGATGACAACATTTTATACAGGACTCCATGTTTATTCTATACTTAAACCAGAATTGTAGTGATTTTCTATCTCAAACAAGAATTTGTAGCTATAATTAGTTTGTATACTTTGTCACAGGTGTCGCTACCCTTGAAAATGAAAGCGAAAACACAGAGTTGGCTTATTAAAAATGCGTGCTAAAATAAAGCATAAGGTGGCCATATTCTTGGCCGAGAAATACTGAAATTTCTGGCGTGTTTAGGTACTGAAATCTTTAAAAGTAAAACGTGTAGAACAAAAGTAAACACAAAAATAAAATCCTTGATGTTTTGTTTATTCATTGTTACCATTTAAATTTACCCAAATAAAATAATAACTAAAAAAAGCGTTTGTAAAACATGCGTTTGATGTTATCCTAACCCCACACTTTAACAATTATTTTCACGTACTTATAAATAAAAGTAAACAATTTTATATGTAGGACTAAGCAAGTAAATGTTATAAGAATATTTACATGTGGAATTATATATAAAAAAGATAGTATTTTCGTAGATTTCAGTACCTAAAACCTTATTGATTTGATCGTTTTTTGCACCTGTTTATTCGTTTTACTGCGGCGTCTTTGAAAATACTCAGGTGGCATGACATAACATTCCTATTATTTGATAAGCTTTAGAATATTCAGTTATTAAATGTTTGAAATTATTTGTTTTTGCGGAAAACACTATTTAAAGAATACGGGGCTTATAATGGTCTGATATTATCTTTTATTTATAAATATGGGTAATTTTTTAAAAGTACCTAAGTAATAAGATTTTGTAAAGCTTAAGTAGTACGAAAATATAACGCATAAAAAACCAATAATATGTACGAATGTTTCTTTATTAGAATAAGATTAAATTTTACGTACAGGGTGTCCCACATAAAATCGTTATTTATGTTGTAGCCTTGGTAGTTTCAAAATAAATTTACAGCTTAAAAATTGGTCTGGCTCAGGTAGATTTCTTTTTCAATCTACAAATCAGTAGCTACTTACCGATAAGAAGGAAACCACTAGTCTAGTCGAGAAGTGAGTTTTCTGCGAAAAATAGTTATTGTAATCCTAAAAATATGGTTGTTAGTACATTGGATTCGGAATTAAATTCTGAGAAAGAAGTATTTTTTAATTTATCCGCAATTAAAAATAGCAATTGTTATAAACAAAAAACGAAGAGAAAAAAGGGAGTCTCCTTTTTTAGCTATAACTAAAAAAATATTGAAGATAGCTGAAATT